GCACACGTGAGAAACAGAAGGGGGCCCGGGCAAATGCCTTAAATCCCCGGTCGGGGATTATGAGGACAGACCGGGGATTTTCCCCTTAAATGAAACGGTGAGTTTTGCAAATACCCGGTCGAAACCCAAAATACCCGACCGGGTATTTCGACCGGGTATCGCGACCAGGCAGCTGATAAAAGGAGGAAGAAGGCCAACATTGAAGGGTTCTGAGTTTTTGAGAGAGAAATCGATTCCTAGAGAGAGAAAGCGACGAACCAGAGTTCCCAAGTGCCATAGCTTGATCTTCATCACCATTGGAGCCCGGCTTGAGCTTGGAGAAGTGCCGATTAAACGTCCAGGAGCAGAAATCCGTCTTCACAGTATGATTTCCGCGTCTGAATCTGCTTTTGCTTCTTTCTCTATGGAGTAGTTCCCCATTCATCTGGGTATGGGGAACCCTAGATTTGTATGTTAGGTCTGATTGTATGAACCCAAGTACAAAGTTTGTGAATTGATTATATTCGATTGAGGTTTGAATGATTGAATGACTTGAATCCTGATCAAATTCCTGTTGTTTCTGCTTTGACCTAGAATGAGAATATATGCCTAGGTTGATAGAGTATCCTTAATCGAAGGTGGCGAATTGTTGACTTTAGTCTAGGAGCCAATTCGCTATTCTGTACCGAATTCAATTCGGTAGTGGAGGTTTGGTTCGTTAGGGCCTCAATCTGTTTACTCCGGTGGAGGTTAGTCGCCCGCTAGAGACTCAGATTGAGAGGGTCTGGAGACCTTTAGTCAAGACTTCAGGCTAATTAAGATCCTTCCGCAGTATAGCTTTCATGAAAACTGAACTTGGTAAATTGCAATTCGACTTAACTGCAGTCTAGGGGGAACCATATCCGGGTGACCTCTCTTGACTTGACAACAACCGTTTACTTGCTTTGTGTTTTTGTTCGCTTGAGTTTGCACTAAAAGTTCACTGCTAGATAACGAGAATTCACCGAGTAGTCATCACATCTAGGACCCGGGTTGACAATAAAACCCAAACCCGCTGTACTACGCTTTAGGAAGTGGTTATACTTGGCCATTTTCTAGGGTGACAGTAGGAGTGAGTCAAGTTTTTGGCGCCGTTGCCGGGGATCGAACCCGGGTCACCCGCGTGACAGGCGGGAATACTTACCACTATACTACAAGTGTGGGGGGATGTTTATCTTTTGACTGCATTAGATCTGTTTGTGTGCTTGGAGCCTAGTCCACTGTCCAAATTTTTGAAATTTGAGGGCTCCAAGTACGTGTTCCTTGCAATTGCCTGCTCGGTATGCTTTGAATTGACAGTCTCTGTAGTGATTTGCAACCTAGGGAGGTAGTGTAGCACTATGGAGGATGTTGATGCATTTAAGAAGTCTCATTTCTTCTTCATATTGTGTTGGTTGATTGAGTGAATTAGTGATCTTAGGACCCTTGAATTATGTGGTGTTGTGGACTCTCTACCTATCATGGACTCTTGTATCATGTTTTGGAAATAACAGGTGCTCGAAAATGTGCTCTAAAATAACGTCTCCGGTGCGAATAGGGCGAAAGGGTGTAAGGGGAGACGGGAATCCGTTCCCAATTTCCACCTACTACCTCCAGCCCCCTTACACGTCTTTCCCCCGCACGAGGCTCGAGACACCCATTCCTGGCATGGCCGGTAAGAGCCGGGCTCCCGCAAAACCTGTGCTAGGTGGGAGCCCCCGTTTTCTGCAGAATCAGGTTGGAACCCGTGAAAAAAGAAAACAAAGAAAAACAGAAAAACAAGCAAAAAGAAGAAAGAAAAGGGTTCCAACCATCTTCAAAAAGAAAATCGAGCACCTTGAATTAATGTGAGTCCATGATCTTTTGTTTTTGGGAGTCTCTTCATCCGCGATTCATTTGTCCTCTGTTCACTATCTGCCATGATGCCGACTCGAGACTAGTGCTCTCGCCGAAGAAGCTATGAGATGACTTGTGCGTCGGTTGACCTCGTAAGTTGCTAAATGATCTAGGAAGTCCTCTACCTACGATCAAGGTTGTTTGTCACTATAGAGATCTGGAGAGCTGCATTGGTTTGAGTTAGGTTTGCTTGGGGACAAGCAAACGGTTAAGTGTGGGGGAGTTTGATAGACCGATAATTATACATGTTTTCACCCCTATTCTGAAGCCGTTTGTGATGTGGATTCTAGTGTTTTAAGCCGATTTCACGCTAGGGTGTGTGTTTATGTCATATTTCAGGTCCCGGCGTTGGAATCGAGGCGGAGAAACGAGTTCTGGGTCGAAAGGAGCCGAGTTGGGACTAAGGGGGCTGCAGGAGGAAAATACCCGGTCAGGTGGCAAAATACTCGACCGGGTATTTATCATTTTGGGCACCCGTGAGAAACAGAAGGGGGCCCGGGCAAATGCCTTAAATCCCCGGTCGGGGATTATGAGGACAGACCGGGGATTTTCCCCTTAAATGAAACAGTGAGTTTTGCAAATACCCGGTCGAAACCCAAAATACCCGACCGGGTATTTCGACCGGGTATCGCGACCAGGCAGCTGATAAAAGGAGGAAGAAGGCCAACATTGAAGGGTTCCGAGTTTTTGAAAGAGAAATCGATTCCTAGAGAGAGAAAGCGACGAACCAGAGTTCCCAAGTACCATAGCTTGATCTTCATCACCATTGGAGCCCGGCTTGAGCTTGGAGAAGTGCCGATTAAACGTCCAGGAGCAGAAATCCGTCTTCATATGCTTTTGCTTCTTTCTCTATGGAGTAGTTCCCCCATTCATCTGGGTATGGGGAACCCTAGATTTGTATGTTAGGTCTGATTGTATGAACCCAAGTACAGAGTTTGTGAATTGATTATATTCGATTGAGGTTTGAATGATTGAATGACTTGAATCCTGATCAAATTCCTGTTGTTTCTGCTTTGACCTAGAATGAGAATATCTGCCTAGGTTGATAGAGTATCCTTAATCGAAGGTGGCGAATTGGTGACTTTAGTCGAGGAGCCAATTCGCTATTCTGTACCGAATTCAATTCGGTAGTGGAGGTTTGGTTCGTTAGGGCCTCAATCTGTCTACTCCGGTGGAGGTTAGTCGCCCGCTAGAGACTCAGATTGAGAGGGTCTGGAGACCTTTAGTCGAGCCTTCAGGCTAATTAAGAACCTTCCGCAATATAACTTTCATGAAAACTGAACTTGGTAAATTGCAATTCGACTTAACTGCAGTCTAGGGGGAACCATATCCGGGTGACCTCTCTTGACTTGACCACAACCGTTTACTTACTTTGTGTTTTTGTTCACTTGAGTTTGCACTAAAAGTTCACTGCTAGATAACGAGAATTCACCGAGTAGTCATCACATCTAGGACCCGGGTTGACAATAAAACCCAAACCCGCTATACTATGCTTTAGGAAGTGGTTATACTTGGCCATTTTCTAGGGTGACAGTAGGAGTGAGTCAGCATGCTTTGAATTGACAGTCTTTATAGTAATATGCAACCTATGGAGGTGGTGTAGCCCTATGTAGAATGTTGATGCATTAAGAAGTCTCCTTTCTTCTTCATATTGTGTTGGTTGATTGTGAGTATTAGTGATTTTAGGACACTTGGAGATACGTGATGGTAGAGGTGGAGTCATTTTCGAGAAAATTGGCCCACTCTAGAAGTAGTATAAACCTTTTGTTGTGGAATTCATAGGTAGATAAAACAACCGAGCAACCAAATTGGTGGCTAAAAAGGCAATTTCTTTGTGTTCCTGCAAGTGTTAGAGGTTTTGATTTTCGACATTGACTTATCTTTTGGTTGTAAACTATGATATCTTCATTGTTGTTGGTAATACAAGTTAGGTAGGTCAAAATCATTTCGAAGGGACAAAATATTTTCATGGGCCCTTCTTTAGCCTCCAATCCGGACAACCCATATTGACAAAAACGAAACTTCGAAAATAAATGCTCTCGTGCTTCAACTCTGTTTCTCATTATACGAGTCGATAACTTAAAATAATCCGGCCAAGAGCCGGGTAAAAGCTAGTCTAGTTAAGATATTTATTTTAGTTGTAAATATATTGTTTTCCCTCGAACTTAAAATAAATAAGTTAAATCAACCAAAATCACGCTCACGCAAGGTTGTCAAACCGGTTTAAGTCATTGAGCCGGTCAAACAAGAGGTTAGAGGTTTAATGGTCTGATCGAGGTCTGGCCGGTTTGAACCATTTTAGACGTTTTCTAAATATATATACAAATAAGGTAGTAATTAAAGATTTAGTGAGTGAAATAAAATTTATCTTACATATATCTATTAAAAACTTATTTTCAACAAAATAAACCTATCTAACCTCCTTGATCCACCCACCATTTCCCTTCATTCATTCCTCTTCCTCTATTCCCACTCTCTTTTTCTCCCTCTTTATGGGTCAGACCGGAGGGCTTTCTGGAGGCCTTTTTGAAATCCGACTCGGGTTGGACCAAGTCGGACTGGGAATTCGATAGGGGTTTAACAACCTTGCGCTCACGGCTCATTAAAAAAAAAAAAAGTTTCGGAGAGAAAATAATTAAAAGTAAATAATAAGAGGAACGAAGCCAAGACGAAAACGGACTTTCTTCTCCCTTGTTCCCTTCCGCCTTTTCTTCCCACCCTCCCTTCCTTCCCCTCTCCTCGTTTTCAATCTCCTTCGAAGTTCGTCCGCTCTTCCCATCGCCGGCTATATCAATCAGGTAAATTCTGCCTCCTAATGTCTTGATTTCTCCGGCTGAGCCATGAGCTAGCGCTTCTCCTTTTCCCTTAATTTCCGTGGTTCACTTTATTATTGGCGGTGTAATTGGCAACTTGCCCACGTTTGCTTGTTGCATCCTGCTTAACAATTCCGATGATGACCCTTTGCAGCTGTGAGAGTTTCAGGAGGAATTTTGGATTTAAACTTGTTCCTTTTTTTGTTTGATTGCTTTTTTCAGATCATTTAGGGACGATCAAATTAGTTTAAAATAATGAAATGTTTTTATTTGGTGATGAATCTGGAATCTGATTTCTCCGCGGATGTGCTTCGCCCCTTTTGTGGTCTTCTGTATGTCTCTATCGACCTTCAGATTTTAAATTCCTAATAAATTCCATTACTTGATGTTGAATTTTCAGGACCCAAAGAAAGAAACTTGGCATTGTGGTGCTGAACGGGAGCAGTCTTCTGGACTGTATCTCTAATAGCACTTGGGTTCTCAGGGTTCTTCATTTGATTCTTCCTCGGAAGAGAAAATAACATAAACAGAGAGAAAACTCTACTTGGGAATGCTGCATGATGTGCCTAACTTCTGAGAACTCAGTCTCTCAAGGCCATGATTATGTGGCTTCCATGGTCTTCTTGCCCTTCTTCACATTTGATGAGACTGGTACTGGAAATTCTGCTTCTTTAACTGGTTGCAGTAGTCGCCCCGATGGTAACGGTTCCAATATCTGCTACAGAGTTCCCAATATAATGACGATGCTAGACTTTTCTGAAGACGGTTGATTAAGCCCCACTTCAACTGCCAGTAGTTTTGATTACTTTGGGGATTTCGTAATATTTGGCTTGACAGATAGGGTAGTAGTTTTTTTTCTTCGAGTGTGTGCTTGTATTATTAGCTTGGGGGATGGATCATAAACCGAGTGTGTTGACTGCAAGTTACGAGGTCGGGAGGTTGCTTGGTCAAGGGACTTTTGCTAAGGTGTATTATGCAAGGAGCATTACAACAAACCAGAGTGTAGCAATTAAAGTGATTGATAAAGACAAGGTTTTGAAAGTTGGGCTTGCTGATCAAATCAAGAGAGAAATTTCCGTGATGAGAATTGTTAGACATCCGAATGTCCTTCAGCTTTATGAGGTCATGGCAACTAAAACCAAGATCTTCTTCATCATGGAATATGCAAAAGGAGGTGAGCTCTTCAACAAGGTTGCTAAAGGAAGGTTGAAGGAAGACGCTGCTCGGAAGTACTTCCAACAACTGATCAATGCTGTTGATTTCTGCCACAGCAGGGGTGTTTACCATCGGGACATTAAGCCAGAGAATCTGCTGTTAGATGAAAATGAGAATCTAAAGGTTTCGGATTTTGGATTAAGTGCTCTTGCTGAATCCAGGCGCCAAGATGGTTTACTTCATACTACCTGTGGAACTCCTGCATATGTTGCTCCTGAAGTTATTAACAGGAAAGGGTATGATGGAGCCAAAGCTGATATCTGGTCTTGTGGGGTGGTTCTATATGTGCTATTGGCAGGTTATCTGCCATTTCATGATTCGAACCTGATGGAGTTGTACAGGAAAATCGCTAAAGCTGAATTCAAATGCCCTAATTGGTTTGCCCCAGAAGTTAGAAGACTTTTGTCCAAGATACTGGATCCAAATTCCCATTACAAGGATATCCATGGCCAAGATTAAAGAAAGTTCCTGGTTTAAGAAAGGATTGAACTCCAACAAACAGAGAAAACTGGAAGAAACTGAAACCAAAGCTGAGGCTCCTTTGAGTAGAGATGGATCAGGTCCTTCTAGCTATGGTAGCAGCATGCCCTCCGAGGAAGCAAAACAAGAACAACCGATGAAACCTTCAAACTTGAATGCATTTGATATAATCTCTCTCTCACCTGGGTTTGATCTATCTGGACTCTTTGAAGAAGATTTACTGAGAAGAGAAACCAGGTTTACTTCTAGACAGCCTGCATCGGTCATAATTTCTAGACTTGAGGATACCGCCAAGCTTCTGAAAATGAAGGTGATGAAGAGAGAACCAGGGCTACTGAGGATGGAAGGAGTTAAGGAGGGTAGAAAGGGTTTGTTGACCATTGATGCTGAAATCTTTGAAGTTGCACCTAACTTTCATTTGGTGGAAGTGAAGAAATCAAATGGGGATACAATGGAGTATCAGAAGGTAGTGAAAGATGGCATGCGATCTGCACTGGATGATATTGTCTGGGCTTGGCAGGGTGAAAAGGAACCACCCCAGCAGCAGGAAGAAGCACAGTATCTTCCACCGCCACAGCAACAGCAACAGCCGCTGCAGCAATGATACAGTGACCAGAATAGCTCAGCAACTCACTCTAGTCCTTTGGTGAGATACTCGCCGCTGATTGGCAGTTTCTCCGAAATCTCATCTCTGTATAATTTTGTGAATTGGCAAAGCTCTTCACTTTTTGCTGTTGTGTTCATTTGTTTCATTGTTTGTGTCCCCTTTTTGACGTTTTGCTGTGCTTCAGCTTTAATGTATGTATCTGGAATACCCCCGAAACTCTTGTATTGATAACTGCGTTATCGAATCTATATGGTGAAGTATAAAAGGCAGTTACAATAACCTCTTTAGTATCCGTCCATATGTTCACTCTTAGCTTACAAACATTGAGACGATAGACGATTGCAGCATTCGAAATAGGATTATAATTCACTCTTAGCTTATTATCAGTCCAACCAAATCGTTGGACAAAACTGTGGATCTTGCTAATGTCAAGTCAAGTCGATGATTTTGGGAGAAACAGCACCAGAAAATCTTGACCTCTTGCTGAATGGCCACATTGTGCATTCTGGAGATGGGGACAACAGATCTATGACCTCAATTTGACGACCACAACTGCGGATAGCTGCTGCTGCGTTTCCGCCAGCAACAGCACTACTGGTTGATTCTTTCCTTTTAATGGATCCCAGTTTTGAATCACTCCCATCATCTATTACCACCAACAAATTCCCATCTCCCATATCTCTAAGAACAGGAGCAATTCTTCTTCCGGGAATACTTTCGAAGTTGGAAGTATCCATATGATGATCTAGTTCCGAGTCAGGGGAAAAGCTTGTGTGTCTCCAGTCTGGCTCTTCATCGTACCATCCCCAGTTTTCTTTGTGACCAATGTCAATGCTACCTGCATAGTCGACGGCAATGTGATGAGCTACTGCATCAATCGTGGAGCTTTCTACCTCATTTCCACACATATCGCTTCTGGCATCTGATTCTTCATCATCTTCACCATTTCCCAATCGTTCTTTGCCTCCAAATGAACTCTGCCCTTTTCCGCCTTCCTCACGTTCAGCCACATTCTCCTCTGCAATTCCACTCAAGTCACTGCCATTCTCCCACGCATTGTCATCACCAAAGCGATTCTCCCCTCCATCTTCCCCGTCGTCTAGCAAACCGTCATCAAATGTTCCAGTGTAGCAAGGGAGGTCGTCCATGGGACAAACTTGGACCTTCATATGCTGTGGCAGACTAGGCAAACCAGGGGAACAATTTTCGTACTTCGTCGAGAAATAGTTTACAGTCAAGTTCAATCTAATCACACAGAAGATAGAAACACAACATTAGTTGAAGGCCCTCCTATCTAACTAAGAAACTCCACAAAAGCAAGCATATTGAAATCTGTTATCAGCCAGTTATCACACCTCTGCCAAGGAGGAAGGCCAAGCATAGTGTAGGCAAGTTTGATATTATTAGCCACTCCAGAGAAGGATTTGAAACTCAACGCGGCCTCCCTAACGGCTTTCGATTCCCTTGGATGCTGCCACGCCCACTCAAACTGGAGAGCAGAGACTTGAGTTGGGAAGCCATAGATGCAGAACACCATTGCCAAGGGGCGTTTTCCCTTTGTCCTGAACGCCCCACACTTGATTTCCCCATTGTGCTGCCTGATTCTACGACGTGGATTAACTGTAAATCTGGAAATGGCAAAGAATCAAATCGATCAGCGATCATTTGAGGAGAAACCAATCAAGATCGGAGTTGAATATGAAGGGAAATGGGAAAAGGCCGCTGCTTTTCTTTCTTAGGTGGTCCATGTTCAAATTGGGGAACAGGGTTTTGAAGGGGAAAACTAGAAGAGTGAAATCGGACGATGAATTTGAGGGATCTGGATGAAGAGCAAAGAGATAAGAGTTTACGAACCCGATATAAGTGAAGTTTTTGGAACGAGGAGAGAGGGAAGTGAGTAGGTAACAAGCATAGAATCTATTTCCTCCATTGTCATCTTCTTCGATGTTTCCCGTTCCGTCAACTTCCTCTGCTTCTTCTACTTGATGCGGTGCAGGTATTTGGGTTTCGGTCTGCCGCGGCTTTCTCTTCCACTTTGATTTGCTGTTTGACGATTTCCTCGGCGCCATTGCTCCCTCTCTCTCTGGGGTTCTGGCTTTTCCTCGGATGCAATTCGACCGTTGGGCGGCCCATTTATTCACGTGACTAGCCGTCGCCTTATCATCAGCTGAAGCTGAGTATATCGCAACCACTGATGCAACATGTGAAGCAGTCTGGATGAAGAGACTAATCACTGATCTACAACAAGGTGATAATGATCCTACTATAATTCATTGCGACAACATGTCCGCAATAGCAATGACGAAGAACCCGGTGTTTCACGCAAGGTCGAAACATATTGAGCTACGACATCACTTTATACGAGATCTCGTCAACAGCGGAGAAATTGCAATTGAGTTCATCAACACCGAGGATCAGCCAGCGGACATTATGACGAAGATGGTCACTCGAGAAAAATTCGAGAAGTTCAAGGAACAACTACGAATTGCGGATTAAGAGGGGGTGATGAAAATATAATCCGACAATTCTCTAGTCTTCTCTACATAAGTCTACAAGTCTCCAGAATCAATTCTTCTAGAGAAGCATGTGAAGAATATGCAGCCATTAAAGGCGGTTGCAGCCTTTGTAGGAAAAGTAAGCAATTAAAATAATGAAAAAATTATAACCACACATGTAACCGACATACACTAAAAATCATGATATTTTCTTAGGTAATGGCGGTGGAGCTCAAGTATAAATAGAGCTGGTTGTTAGCTCTTGGTGAGGTGCAGAAAAAGCAAGAAAAGAGAGTGATAGAAAGCATAAAAGAATAGTGAGGAAGAGTGAGGAGTATAAGAGCTTAAGCTCTCTTCCGTGTAAACAAAAGGCAATTATATTGCCAAACTAGTGTGTGTAAGAGTGAGGGATAATAAGATAAATTTCCTCTGAAATTTCGATCCAAATTCTCACCAAATTTCCGCTAGCGCCCAACAGTGGTCCTCCTCCGCCGACGCCCCCACCCCCGCCGCCGCCTCCTCCGTCGATTGTTATATCGTCATCCTCGTCCTCTTCTGCTTCAAATCTATACGCGCCGGCGACGACAGGTTACAGCTCCATTACCGCCGGGGATCACAACGGCGTGCCGTATTTTGATTGATTTGTAATTGTTAAATTGAAGAAGAGGGGTTACTACTGGTGGCCGGGTGTGCCTTCTTGGATCTGCTTTTCTTTTCTGATCTGAGCTAAGCTTTGGTACTTGGTCAATCACCAATTAGTAACATGATTAAAAATTTCCTTCTTCTCAATATGAGAGAAAAGCAAAAAGACGACCGTTGTTTAATTAAACTCTTTGAACATTGTGATTGTTATTGTGATAATTTATAGAGATTTGAAACTTTTTAATTTTGGGATATCTATCGCAAAAACAAAAATATTAATACTACCATTTTGTGATGAATTTGTGGCAATGTGCTCAGATTAAGTGTTGAAAAATGGGGTTCCCTTTGCTTGCACTTCTGAGTATATACAAACAGTACGGTTGTGTTGAGGTGGGGACCAGATCAGGTCAGTATTCTTGTTATCAGTAACTGTCAGTAATCCAATCATGTGTCTCCACGTGTCAGTTTTTTTTTATTTAAATTAAACACGGAGGGGCACTAAGGTAAAATTGCACCCCTTATTTAATGATGTCTCCGACGCGCTGACGCGACGCGGATCCCACTCCCCACCCCACACTGGTTGTCTGGTTCCCCCTTTCTCTCACTATTTGTTTTATTTTATTATTAAAAGAAAAAATATATTATTTCTTCTCTCTCCCATCTACAACAAAAATGAATCTAACCATCCTAACTATCTCTAAACTAATTCCAGCTCAAATTGAATGATGATTTTTTTGTTAAATAATACATTGTTAAAGACACTAATTATAAGTATAAATATGATTATCACTTTCTACTATCATGGTAAAACATGGTAAAATATGTTGAAGAAAATTACAATTCTAACTACCATACAATGCAACATGGTAAAACGTGGTAAAACATGGTAAAATATGTTGAAGGAAATTAAAAATCTAACTACCATACAATACCACATGGTATAACGTGGTAAAACATGCTACATAGATTTACAAATCTAATTACCATACCATACCATATGGTATAACATGCTAAAATAAAATTACAAATCAAACTACCACCACATGGTATAACTTGGTAAACCACGCTACAGAAAATTATAAATCTAACTAGCATACAATACCACCATAGTAGAACATGGTAAATCAAAGGACCACAAATTAATTATAATTACCATATAATACCACATGGTATGAGAAGGTAAAACCATGTAAATCTAATTACAACCCTCTACGACCATAGTAAAAACATGATATTCATAAAAATACATTTCGTTACCATACATTACCATATGGTATAGACACATTACCATATGGTATGGACACATTACCATATGGTATAGTGTGATAATCTCAATATATATATATACAATTACGACTTTCTTCACTTTCTTCTCTCCCTTCATTGTCTTCTAACTCTTCTTTCTCGGAACTCATGTCGATTACCACCCACTACCACAATGATAAAACTCGTGACTATAAAAATATACACTTAGTTAGCACACATTATCATATGGTATAGTATGGTAATATCAATATATATTATCAAAGAAGGGGAAACAAAAGGAGGAAGAGGAAAAAAAATTCGTCTTCTGTCTCTTCTCATTTACTCCTCCGCAATGAAGAACACCGAATGCAAAAAGAAAGAAAAAGAGGAAGAAGATCGGAATTAATTCACAAACAAATACTAAAAACACAAAAGATGCAAACTCAACTCACCTAGATCAGTCCCCTCTTTGACAATATGGAGCATCATCAATTTTGAGGCCGAGAAAAGAAAAAAACAGAAGGAAGGAGCAGCTTGAGAGAAGAAGGATTTGGAGCGTCACCAAATTTGAAGTGGGAGGCTGCAATTTCTTCATCGATTGTTGGAGAAAAAAATGAAGAACAAGAGAAGAAAGGAGATTTAGATCTGGAAAAAGAATTTTGGAAGAGAGAAAGGAAGAGAGAAAGAGAAAAGAGAGAGGAAGAGAGAAGTCTACTTTTTCTCTTTCCTCCATTAAAAGACAACACATATAAATGCTGGAAAAAAAATAAAAAAGGAAAGAAATCAAATTTCAAAAATCGGACAAAAATGCCCCTCCTCACTCCGCGTGCAGCCCAGCAATATAATAATGTCATCCCTATATCTACGGTCCGGATTTAATACTGACAGGTCAGTAACCAATGGTTACTAACTCTATCCTCTGCCGTTGAGGTGTGGCCACCAACTCCTCAACATCCATGCCATTTAGTACATACAAATGGAGAAGAATAAATTTCCAACTTAGTCATCAGTGATCACAGTGGTTTAGCTAGATAGATGGAGAAGATTAAAAAAAAAAATTGGAAAGAGAAGGAAAATAATTGTATGTGTTAAAAGTCCGAGTGGGAGGAGGTCAAAATATGAAAGTCAAGACAATTAAGTAGGAGGGGGCTAATGTTATGTGGGGATTAATGTTCGATTTCCCTAATTTAGTAAAAAATTTACATATATTTTTAACTCTAATTTAAAAGGTGATGAATGACCATTACTTTGAAGATTTGTAAAAGATAGAGAACTTGATTTTATTGATAGAACTTCGAGGTCTGTGTTTATAAGAGAAAGTGGTGCATGAATATTGAATGACATAAATAATAAGGGAAAAGATATATATATGAATAATGATAAATTGTATACTAGGTTCAAGGTAAATGAATGTGTCCAATTGAATTGTAACCTTAAATTAATGTATTCTTATCACGCCTCTGGAAGATGAATGAGTAGTTAACAACGCCAATTTTAGACAAAGGGATGAAAGCACAAAACAAAAATAAGTTTGGTGAGGCCGTTAGCGAGTGAAAATCAGAGGGAACATGACAAATAGGGAGAAAATTGACCGTTGTTATGAGAAGTCTGCTGTTAGCTAGTGACGGTGATACGACATGTCGCCTTCTTTTTTATTTCTTGACTGACTTTTTTTCTTTATAACAAAAGGATGAGGGATTAAATATGAGGAGAGTGGTGTGGGGTAGTGATAGTAGGAGGAACAATGGAGGTGGTGGTGCAATGCATGCTTATTTGAACCATGAACTTGATTTCTACTTAAATACTTAATTAGTTAATGAATTTTTATTTGAGAGTATGAAATAAAATAGTGAGAGAGAGAGAGAGAGGCAGAAAGATCAAGGGAGAAACTTAATGGGAGAAGACTGGAAATGAGTGTTATGAGTCTATGGACTTGTGGAGGTGGAGGAGTTTGGAGAGCATTAGGAGGAAGGGTAGGAAGAAAGAAGACTCATAGCTATGCTGCCATTTATGGGCACATTTGAGAAAAAGAAAAGAATTTCGTACAGAAAGAAAAAACAGAGAAAATGTCAAACAAAGGATGATGATCATGATGATGAAAATTGTGGGAATTCGAGGGAGGAAATTTCAATAGAGGCAAAAATTGGATGTATTGTTCAACTATGAGTCCATTGGTTTGTTCAATTCTTTTCCTTTTCAAGACGCGTTATTTCCTTGAACCAAAGTTAGTTGGGCACTTTAATTTGTTGGATAAAAATGGATGTCAATAACCTCAAGGGGTTTTTCTTTGTCTGATCACTACAAAAAAGAGGAGGTTTGGGGAAGACAAAAGTTGTCCCCGGAAATAGGAAAAATCGTCCCTATAGTTTTTGGGGACGACTAAGTCGTCCCCAAAGAGTGGTTCCCTATACTCTTGTCCTCTATTTTTTTGGGGACGACAAAAATCTAGGTCGTCCCCATTACTAGGGACGACAGTCGTCCCCGATACTCGCAAGTCGTCATCTCGTCTCTTGTCCATGAAAGACAAAATGTCGTCTCCATAGCTATAACTTTAGCGACAATAAGTCGTCCCCTAAACATCATTTCTAGGGACAACCTGTTGTCCCACATAATGGATTTCATAATTGCGTTGGGACAATATGGGGATAAAATATCGTCCCCTTTTACTTTTATAGGGTTGACATGTCGTTCCCATAGGTATCAAATTGGAGTCCAAAAATCGTCCCCAAAAGCTTTATTCCAGGACTATGAGTGGTCTCTTATTCTATATCTTTAGAGACAACAAGTTGTCGCTTATGACTTTTAGGGACGAACAATTGTCCCTTAACTTGTGTATTGGGGGACAAGGAATTGTGACTAATGCACCTTCTGGGAACGATTAATTATCTCCTACATAACTCGTATGAAAGACTTGTTGTCCTTTAGCATGTGTCTTTTGAGATGACTAATTGTCACCGATATGACTATATCACTTGTGGGGACGACCAATTGTCCTTTACCCTGTATTTCCGGGGACATCTAATTGTCACTTATTAAATTGTAGGGACGATCATATGCCCCTTAATCAATATCGTAAGGAACAAAAAATTGTTACCTATGTAAGTTCTGGGAGACGATCAACGAAGGGTTACCTTGTAAACTCCAAGTGAACCATTGGAACAATCTAAGGACATTTCTCAATATAAAAAATGTGTCATTGAATCATCTTCATAAATAAATTGAAGCAAGTTTACTATAATATCATCACAATCCCATAATAAGAATACCAAGATTCAACATTTGATAGACTAAACATCCTTAGCAAAACAATAAATAGTATCAACTAAAAGACGAGTTAGAAAAATCTATAAAGTGTGCTAGTGTGCTAGCTGTTATCTCTTATTATAAACGTACTATAATATATCTTCGCAATACCACAGCTCGATTTGCCCAACCCGCATCTTCTCTTATCTCCTGAAATATAATAAAATTCAAAAGTTAATCTTCTAAGCAACATTAATTGGATCAGAATAAAAAAATACATTATTATTAACAATACAAGAGACACAACTTTATACAATTAAAACATAAAATACGTGTATTGAATTATTGGAGTGATCTCTTTCTCATACTCTCTGTGCTTCCTTTTGTTCACCGCTTGGAATTCCTAATCAATTAGAATTATAAGGTCGAATCGATCGAACTAGGGTTAATTATTTCTTTTTTTTTACGGGTAAGTTGTTAGTTAGCAGGGGTTAATTAGGGATTTCTCTATATTGAATCATTTTTGCTTTTCACTTTGGAATAGAGAGAGCTAATAAGGTTCAACTTACCTTTGTGAAAATATAGAGAAGAATTAAGGGATTCAATTGATTTCTTTCTTCTCGGTGTGAAACTATAAAGAGAATCAAAGATTTAGAGGGGGGACTTCGTACCTAGCCGCCAAGACGAAATTTCAGAGCTCCACCTCGCTGCGCCGCTTCAAACAATCGAAGGCTCTGGGATTTTGTTAAGGAATCTTTCTGAAGAAAACGGCAGGAACGGAAGGAGGGCAGGAGGCTGTGAGGTAACTCCGTGGCATCTTGTATACCAAAGAAGAAGAAAAAAGCTGACCGTAATTGAGAGCGAGTGAAATTGCTTACTTGATCACGGAGGAAAAATCCTTTCCAGGAAGAAAATTTTGTGGAGAAGAGGGTTTGTGTGTCCAGGGCTCTAGGCTATCTCTATAAAGGAAAACCCAAAACCTAAATGCCATTATTTCATTCTTTTTTTTTTTTATAAAATTCAAAACTCTTTACCCCAAAATTTGGTTTGCCCGCCGCCAAAACTAAAAAATGTTGGCTAAGCCAAGCCGCCAAACCATAAAAATTTCGTTAACCCTGCCCGGCGCTGCCCAAAGCCTAAATGTCTATTTTCATTACTAATACATTTTACCATGTTAATTTATGTAAAATTCTTATAATGAATTATATATTTCTTCTAAATATCTCGATGCGCGCAAAGCATTGACGAATTAACTAGTATAAAACCTGTATAACACGTTTAATATCCGTACTTAATGAATTAAATTGTTAATTTTAATATTATTTATATATTTATATTATTTTTCAATTAAAATCATTAATTTTATATATTTATGACTATTAACGTACTGTTAAACATAACATTAGATTAGAGACGAAGTGAAATACTCGTACGTATTTTATACGTAACATTCTCATACCTTGTTTTACTAACTATGATTATGGGCGCAATCACAACTACAACACATTTGCTACATTACGGTAAAATAATTTTTAACTCTTGTGTGACTTGTGAAAGAAAAGAGAAGATGAAACAGTAAGATGACAACTTTGATATTTTAAAACTACGTTTAACAATTTGTAAGACCACGTTGATCAATTTTGTAACTCCAATGAACTTGTGCGCCAATTTCATTTTTTCTGTGAAAAAAAGGGTGCAATCTTTTATTCTTTGGGGGGAATTCCTGCCCCAATTAACTTGCGCGTCCATCCATGTAGCCATTAATAAAAAATCTTCAAATAACAATAGAATTATCCTACTGTAATCCTTTATCATTTTTTTATAATCAATCATTTATCATTTTTTATGATGGAGAATCCACCGTAATCTTTTACTTCCCCCAAACTTCTTTTTCGGGGACAACTAAAAAGCTCTAAATTTAATTAAATATCAATTATGTATTTTAAGGGGACAATATTATATAACCGTCCCCGTTATTACTTAAAATAATATTTTCTAAGACAAATTAAGATCTGTGCCCTATTTTTGTCCCCAATGCTTCTCAATTTTGTAGTGGATATATATGTTAACAGAAGCAAAGATAATAATATTCAATGATTGGTCTAGTGATACTGATAATGCAAGCAAATAAAATTAGAAATAAATGTCAATCTATCACATACAATCAATAAATATTGACAATCAAATTTGTAATGTTGATCTTATTTTAAGATAATGCTTGGTTGCTTCAAGTTTGTTTCGAGTCCACATTGTTATTGAAGTTATCATTTTCACGATATTGTTAGGTCAATACTAAACTTAAGATTATCGTATCAATTAGAAAATAAAGATCGAGGCGATTATCTCTGCTTAATAAGTTAACATTCGCATGGGTTTCATTTAATACTTTTTTTAGCTGTTGTTATTACTTTCAGTTCTTATGTTT